GCCAAAGAAATCATGAGAGAATGAGGAAGAAGAAAAAAATCATTTTTCTGATTGCTTAGTTCCGGTTTTGGAGGATCTCAAAATATTTATTCTGAGGAATTTGATGCAAATGAATTCACTGATATTGTAGTTTCAGAACTGTGAAATGCATACTTGAGGGGATGAAGTAAGATCCCCTCCCCAAAGAAAAAAACCCCAAACTTTTAAATAAATATATGACAGAGTTATCTTAACCCATCATATATTCCACAACAAAAATACTATTTCATCCTACACACTGACTGCAGGTAGGTTCTCGATTTACAACAGTTCATTTAGTGACTGTTCGAAGTTACGCCAGTGAAAAAAGTGACTAATGACCATTTTTCACACTTATGACTTCTTGGTCACGTGATTCACACTCAGATGCTTGGCAAATGGTTCACATTTATGACAGTTGCAATGTCCTAGGGTCATGCGAGCAAGAAAAGTCGTAGAATGGTGCAAAACCCACTTAACAAATTTCTCACTTAGCAACATAAATTCTGGACTCAATTGTGGTTGTAAGTCGAGGACTACCTGCAGTTATTTCATGTATTTCCCAATCCAGTTCTTTTTAATCAAAGAAAAAAAATCATTTTTCCCTTTCCCATCCCTAATTTTGGAATACTGAAACCGTGAATAATACCGCCGATCATGACCAATGTGCCTAGGCCACTCCCATCGGCACCATTAAAGCAAATGGTAGGACGTAGCATCAATCCTGTCAGCAGCTGCAGCCAGGATAGTTAGAGATTGCTTCTATCACTATACAAGCCAGATGACTGTTCTCTAATCCGACCAAAGCTAATAAGTACCATCAACCTGTCACTTCCTACATTTCAAATTCTAAACACTGCAGCATCAAAGAATCCCCCCCCCCACCTTTTACATTTCAATTTCTTTTGCTGGCAGCAGTGAGTAGCCTCCCGTTCTCCTCAGTCCTCCCATGATGTGTTCGAATGCAGCATATTCGCACACCGGGGTTACTCCCAGTCTGAATAGCAGGCATCCCCTACTCACTGAGCTCATCTGCGGCCCATGTGCTAGGCAATTTCGATCTAATCAGCCCTTATTTAGCTCAAGAGTAATGAGTAGCATAGTGACACAGACTTAAGCCTGACCCTCAGGACACTGCTCATCAAGCAGGAAAACTGTGACAAAATCATTCATCTTCCACCCGCTGGCAAGAAATAATACTCACACTCACTGTATTACTTTTCAAGGTGAGGGGGAAGGGGAGTCCTGAATTTTCATGATGCGAGACATTAATTTGCAGAAAGCTGAATTCTCCTAAACCCCCCTGTTGCTATGAGCTCACCAGGGGGAAAGAGGCCTTAGGAGACCGAAACGGAATAAAGAAAATTGCTTTGGCTTTCTTTCATTTTAAATAAGCCTTAAATCTGACAAGTTATCCTAAAGACAAGATACACAGAACATTCCATATACAGAAGATAGTCACAAATGTGCACATGTAAATATGTCTGTCTACTTTGCGTGTGTGTGTATGTGTATTTCTGGTGTGTACTATATATATATTCCTTCTAGTTAATAAGTCGAATTGGTTAATTCAAATTTAGAATTCAACACCAATTGCTTTTATTTTTTTTAATTGCCTTGGTTCAATGAGAAGGGGGGGGTGGACTTGCGCATTTCAATAAAGAGCCATTTCCCCCCTTCAGCAGCTGCAAAGAAAGAAGTATGAAGAAGGAAGTTCATTCAAGGGAAAAAACACTGTAGCTTTGAAAGTGGAGTGCTTCAACCAGAAAATAGATGTACATTGATGTTCTTCAGGGATCACATATTTTTCTAAACAACTATGAGCCATGAGCAGCAGGTGCTCAGTATACTTTCAAATGGAAAGTACTTATTTTTCTTAAAGCATATTTTGGTGAATTTACTCTTTCACAACAGTAAATCATGTATAGCTGACAGGTAGGGTGCTGAACAAGTATAAGAGCTGATAAAATGGTTACAACAGTGCAGAAAAGGAATATAAGAAAGTTCTGAAACCATAGAAGTCTGAGGAAAGTGATATAATTTCAGAGTTACCATATTGGCTAGCAGTATTTCTTAATCTTCCAGCAAGCTATTTCAGTGCAACACATCTTTAAGAGGATAGAGGGCCAGGAGAGGAGATTTAGTAACTCAATATTCCAATATAGATTTATACAAAGAAGATAAAACTAAATCCTGAAAAATAGCTAATGTGCCCCACCCCCAAAAAAGAAGAAGATTGGAACCTTCCAAAAATGTCAGAAGGCAAAAATTATTCAAAATTCTAGAATGCTGGAAAGAAAACAAAGTGCTCAATTTTTTTTGAGAGTACACTCCAAGGGCAATATATGTGTCCATATTGGGGCTGTGCAAGACATTAAAAATAAAAGCTTTCCAAAAGTTTTGCATTATTACCGCTAGACATGCATAATGAAAACCAATAGATTTTGCACCTAACTCTTGAAAAAAACTATTACTGTATTTTTCGGACTAAAAGACGGAGCAGAGTATAAGATGCACCTAGATTTTGAAGAGGAAAACAATGCAATTTTGGCCTCCCTAGCCCCCAGCAGCACTCTGCAGACCTCCCAAAACCTCTGCGCATTCCATTTTTGGCCACCCCAGTTCCCAGGAGCACTCTGCAGGCCTCCCAAACCCTTCACGTGTCCCGTTTGTACAAAAGATGGCCCATTTTTGGCAAAAATGGGACTTGTGGGGTGTGGTTCGGGAGGCCAAAAGCAGGGCTGAATTCGGTCTATAACAGTGTTTTTCAACCTTTTTTGTGCAAAGGCACACTTTTTTCATGAAAAAAATCACGAGGCACACCACCATTAGAAAATGTACTGCCCCACTTCGGTGCTCGGAACACCGAAGGAGATGCGCCGCTGGTAACACTTACCAAGTTGACAGCGCGCGTTCTCCTCGCTGCTCCGGTTCTCCGCGATTGTTGCTATGGGCACACGCATGGGACGTCAGTGACGTCCCTGCGTGCGCTACCTCCCGGCGGTCCCCGTGTTTTTAAAGTAAACGCCGGGCCACAGGGACTTAATAGAGGCATCCCTGTGCCCCGAAAGCAACTTTCGGGACACAGG